ATTGAGCAAAAATTTTAATACAGAGGTCAGTAATACATATATATCCATATATACGTAATATATACAGCAGTCATCACAGATATATATGTATATATATATATAAAAGAGTTAATAAAATTGACATCAAAAAGTCATACCAAAAACTAAATTACTCATCTATCTCAGAGCATGCTCTAAAGTCAATTTCTTGTAGAATAAAGACATAAATATGAAAGGCAAAACTAAAAATATTTTAGGACTGTGTAACATTTAGTCATGGCCTTGGCGTAAAGGAGGATTTTTTATACAAGATAAAACTGTCATTTAAATAAAGGAAAAATTCTCTTTACTAAAATACCTTAAGTATGAAAACAGAAGGCATAGAGTAGGAGAAGTTATTTGAAAAACACATCATGAACTAAAGACTTCTGGGCAAAAAAATCAAAAGAATTCCTAAAAATAGGAAAGAAAAGGTTAGATTAGAAAGCTCTTTTGTAAAAGTATAAATATCTTCCATAGGTGCTTAACAAAGAAGAAAATCCAGATAGCCAACTGATATATTTTTAAAAAAGTATCCAGACTTATTTGCATTTAGAGAGATACATATAATAAACATCACATAATCAACAGTTATTGAAAACTTAAAAGATCTCCCATTATTAATAAAATATGCAATTCAGAGGGGCATATAAAGTAGTAGAATGCTTTAGGAAAATTGTTTAATAATTATTACAATGCATCTATTTTAACAATACAGACTATCCTTAGTTGTATATCCAGAAAATCTTGTGCACATGTGCCAAAGAACACATATGTAAGAGTTTTCATATTTGAATATTTTAATATCTCCACAATAGAAAAAATGGAATGTCTAAAATAGCAGGATAAATTGTTGTATAATCATGAAATTGGATACTATTCAGTAATTTAGATTCATTTATTTAGAATTCAAAACAAATAGAAATATATTGCTTAGGATAATTAAATAAAATCAAGGAAATGGTTATCACAACAATCTTGAAAGTAGTTACAAATACTGTATAGCTTCTAGAATACAGTCAATGTGTATACATGAATGCTCACTTCATAATTATTCATTTAACTGCACAAATACATTTTATTTATTTTGATTTATACTTAATATATTATACAACAACAAATATTAAAACAACAATTAAAAGGCAATTGGTAGTGACTTTTGTGAAAGACAGAAGACCCAATCTCCTATCTCCATTTCCACTATCAATACACAGAAATGACTGATTGACAATACTAATACATTTTTTAATATAGCACTACACTTTAAACAATAAAGTGGGTTGACAATGCCCTATAGGCCAAAACCTGCCCACCACGTTTCTTTTCTTTTTTAAAAAAATTATTTTGAAAGACAGCATAAGCAGGGGAGGGGCCAAGAGAGGGGAGAGGGAAGATCCCAAGCAGGCTCTGCTTTGACAGTGGGGCTTGAACCCACGAACCATGAGATCATGACCTGAGCCAAAATTGAGACTTAGATGCTTCACTGACTGAGCCACCCAGTTACCCCCCACCACTTTTAAATATAAAGTGATATTAGAATATAGCTATGTCTATCTATTTTCAAATCTTCTATGCCAACTTTCACAATGACAGAATTCAGTGGTTGCAAGAGAGACCATATGGAGTTCACTCTAAAATGTTTACTATCTAGCCCTTTGCAAAAGGTGGACTGACTTTTGCTTTAAACAGAATGGTCAAAGAAGTGAAAACAAAGACTAGTTCTGCAGTTAAAAAAGTAAGCAGGTGACACTGTAAACTAGGTCAGAATCTGGACCAGAATTGTACCTTAGGTATGGAAGGTTAAATAGCCTCTGGTCTCTAGCATGAAACACAGTGTGGGCTTTCCAGTAAAGAACATAGAGCTAGAAATATCCTCAGCAATTTGTAAACAGAAGGAGAAAGAATCAATACCTGCTGTCTGTAGACAATGGACAGAATGAAGCTACCCAATCTTGACCATGGCAGAAACAGCATCACATGCAAAAACAAAAACCCTAAACTACATCTCATGCAAATGTGGAATGGATTACAAATTGCCCCATCATTGCTGAAACTCTGAGATGATAAACAATACAAACATTGGAGCCAGCTAAATGGACCCACCAGGAATGAAGCAGAAACATCTATAAAACCCCTTACTTACCATAAGGTTGCCACAAAAGCCTTCAATTTGTAAAAATGCAGTATGTGTGAAGGCACAATAAAACAAGTGGTGCCTGTAGTATTACTCTCAATATGCTCATCTAGATCCATTCTTGAGTTTGGCAAGAATACCTTTGAGCAATGTGATAAAATTGGCATTCTAATTTCATTTGTTTGACCCCTAGGGGATTGCCAAGTTGATGTGACAAGGCACAAATTGCTGCCAGCTCTTTACACAGTCAAAGCCTCATAGGCTGTTGAGAGTGCAAGTGATACCACTTTGTTTCTATATAAACTGTTGGCTAAGTCTGAAACCAACTAGTTACCAAGATACCATGAGTAGGAGCTGTCAGGATTGAGACACACCAGTAACAGTGGTCACTGAAGGCTTCAGGACTCCACCAGCAGGGGTTCCTTGGCCGCACTTTATTCTGTCTCCTCTGCAACCTAGTATTATTCACTATATTCTCATCTGTTGCATATACAATGAAAAACTACAATGAAAGTTTTGCATTTACTTCGATTATAGATTTGATCATATCTAAAAAGTTAGGTTCTGTTTATGACGACTTTCTTGACATTTTACAACAATATTTTGAATTTTTCTGAGCCAAGACTTATTTGGTGACTGTGACTTAATTCTCCAAAAGCTGGTTCTTTGATTAAACATTTGTAATTATATTCTAATTTTATCATGCTAGTCATTAAGAAAGTGGTTACTTTTTAAAAGATTTTGTGTTTACTATGTGAAGGTTTTTATTTAAGTGTACTTTGCTTGTATGTGAGAAGAGTCTTAATTGTAGGGTGTGTAATATGCAATTCATCGATTATATCATCATTAGTTGTATTGTATATGTTATACTTTTTTTCCTAATATAAAAAAGACAGACCTTAAGAAATCTGCTATTCATAAGCTGTCATTTTTACATTAGGACAAAAAGGTATAGCATATACAATACAACTAATGATGATACAGATGGCTAACAGACACATGAAAAGATGCCCAACATCACCAGTCATCAGGGAAATACAAATCAAAACTACAATCAGATATCACCTCATACCTTCCAGAATGTCTAAAATTAACAACACAGGAAACAACAGATGTTGGCAAGGATGAGGAGAAAGGGGAGCTCTCTTACACTATCTTGGTGGGAATGCAAACCAGGGCAGCCACTCTGGAAAACAATATGGAGGTTGCTCAAAAAGTTACAAATAGAGCTATCATGTGATCCAAAAATTGCTCTAGGTATTTACTCAAAGGATACAAAAATACTAATTCAAAGAGATACATGCACCCTAATATTTATAGCAACATACCTATAATAGCCAAATTATAGAAAGAGCTCAAGTGACCATCAACCGATGAATGGATATATACTCAGCCATATAAAAGAATGATATCTTGCCATTTTCAATGACATGGATGGAGCTGCAGTGTATTATGACAAGCGAAATAAATCAGAGAAAGACATATACATTATTTTACTCATATGTGGAATTTAAGAAACAAAACAGATGAACACAGGGTACAAAACAGACTCTTAATTATAGAGAACTGAGGTTTGCGAGAAGGAAGGTGGGTGGGAGGAAGGATGGGCTAGATAGGTGATGAGTATTAAGGAGGGCACTTGTGATGAGCACTGGGTGTTGTATGTATGAGGAATCACTAAATTCTATACCTGAAACTAATATTACACTGTATATAAACTGGAATTTAAGTAAAAATTTAGAGAGGAAAAAAACAATTTCACACAGTTTTTAAAATACATTAATGTAGAGTTGTGAAATTCTTATTTTTACCATTTACTTTTTTTAAAAGTTTATTTATTTTTGAGAGATAGAGTGCATACGCCAGGGGAAGGGCAGAGTAAGAGAATCCCAAGCAGACTCCACTGTCAGCGGGGAGCCTGACATGGGGCTCAAACCCAAGAACTGTGAGATACCAACCTGAGCCAAAATCAAGCGTCAGACGCTCAACCAAATGAGCCACCCAGGCATCCCTCCTACTTATACCATTTAAAAAGGACTATTACAGGGGTTCCTGGGTGGCTCAGTTGGTTGAGCATCTGACTTCGACTCAGGTCATGATATCTCTGTCTGTGAGTTCAAGCCCCCACCACACCCCCTCACCCCTGTCCCCCCTCCTTGAGTTCAAGCCCCTATCCCCCTACCCCGTGAGTTCAAGTGCCACATCGAGCTCTTTGCTAACAGCCTGGAGACTGTTTCAGATTCTGTATCTCCCTCTCTCTCTCTGCACCCCTCTCCCCACACTCATGCTCTGTCTCTCCCTCTGTCAAAAATAAATATTAAAAAAAAAATTTAAAAAGGACCATTACAATTCTTATTTTTCTTTATTCCTTAGTAAGATGTGCTTATTTTTCCTAAATTCATCAGCTGGCATAGTACTGAGTTTGGTTAATTACAATTATATTTAAGTCCTTAATACATTCTGACGTGATGTGTTAAGTAATTTTCTTTTAATCATCACTATTCTTTCCACCCTAATTCATGATGATCTTTCAAATATAGTTGAATATTAGGGACTCGAAAAAGATTTTGATAAAGATAGAAAATTATCAAAATTCATCCTTCATGAAATCCATAGATAGCCAAACAAAATTTGATGCTACTGGGAAGAAGGAAGATGGAAGCATAAACTAAAGGTTCAACTTCTACATATTTATTATATAGACAAAGTTTTTTAAGTCATAAAATAAGAGACAAATGAATAGCCAGTAACTAGGAACATCTAAAAATGCAAAATAATGACATTCTGGATTAATTATAAACAAGAATTAGAAAAAAATACAGGTGGTAAAATAATGTAGATCACCTACTTTTGCATTAGGTTCACAGTGTATGTTTTCCCTTCAATCACAATGTTGTAGGACACCTGGCAGGAGAGTGTATTAAAAAGACAAAGAAAAGTGATAAGAATGTTAGAAAGTAAAACTAACATTTTACATTAATGATAATTACACTGAAAGCACATTAATACAATAAAAGAGGAAAACTTATAATTTAATGTTGATTTATATCAATGAAATGATATTTAAATATTGGCTTTCATAATAAAAGTGGATAGAATATATTTTGTGTAATTTCTTAATAAATTTTAAATGAACCCAACAAAACATTTGATCTGAAAAATTGATTTGCATCCAATAATTACATTAGCTTAATAAAGACTGAGGTCACTGCAAAACTTATGCTTAAAATGAAAGAGCATAAACATACTACTAATAAAAAATTTCTATAATAGAGCAAAGATTTAGCAGCACATAAAGTATAATATTTGCAGATTTTATAAAATTCATTCCAAGTTTGGATCAAAACTCATTGATTTTATTAATAGTAAGATTAAGAAATGATGTTTAACAAATGGGCAATTTAGTCTTTATAGATCAATTTGCATAGCCTTGACATCTTTAAATTCTTGGGCCTTCCAATCCAGTAGCATGGTTTATACTTGGGTTTATTTAAACCTTTCATTCCTCTCATCTTATTTTATTGTCTTCAGAGATGAGGTTTTGCTTAACTTTGTTAGATTTATCCAGATTTTGATATTTATGTAGTGTAAAATTTCTTTTTAAAAGTTTCATTTTATATTTTTGTTTTATAGAATGGAAATACAATTGATTTTTATGTTATGGTCTTATTTCTTTTGTTTGTTTGTTTTGTTTTCTTTTTATCTTGTTTCTAAAGATTTTACTAAATTATTATGTTATTTCTAATTTTCTGTAAGTAACTTTGGATTTTATTTTATATGCAATCATTTAATCTATAAATGATGATAGCATTATTTTTTCTTTCCAATTATTATGCATATTTTTAATTTTTGTTTTTTTCTTTCCTTATCACAGTGGCTAATATTTCCAGGCAAAATAAATAGAAGAGGTAATAGTGGACGTTCTTATCTTTTTCTTGATGTCAGGAGAAAAGCTTTCAATATTTCAACTTTGTGCATGATGTTTCTTTCAAAAGCATTTGATCTTCTCTATATGCCACAGTTGATTATTATTCTTAATTATTACATATTTTGTGCAAATAAACACTACAGCAAATTACATAAAATGCCTTGTCAACAATGTCTATGTTAAAACATAAAAACATTAAAAGTATTTCAAAACAATTTTAAGTACTCTCCCATCCTATTATTAATTCCCTTTCTTACATTCCAACTAACCAACATCTTGAATTTCATGTTTATCATTCCCACGCATATTTTTATATCTATACTCATTATGGATGTTTAAATAATTTTTTGCATAAATTTTAGCTCTGTATGAATGTAATCCTTCTACAAGTTATATATTTCATTGCTGGATTACACATCTGCTTAAAACACTGTTTCAGACATAGTAAGCACTCTGTAAACATTTGCTATCATTATCAATACATGTAGCTTTATAATTTTTCCATGGTATTGTATTACATTTTCTGAATATAGCACAGTTTATTCATCTATGCTGTCAATGGTTATTTAGTTTTGTTTTACTATTTTAACCAATGCCCCCCCAAATAATCTTAGGCATATCTTTGTACATATTTGCAAGCTATATTTTAAACTAAACCTGAATGAATGTCTTTTATTAAAAAGTACTTTTGCAACTTCAACTTGAAGCTTAAAACTAATCAGCAAATTTGTTGCACCAATGTAGATATTCACAAAAAGTGAATCCATCTCCTTTAATTGCATTTTGTTTTGTTAGAGTTAACTTTTGCCCTTGATGTGAAATAATACCCTATTGTGTTTACCTGGCAATTCCCTATAAATTTCCTAATTTGTATATATGCTTGATAATTATTGTCCCCTCAAGTTCAACACTTAATTGTCATTCAAAACTTTGTACATGTTTCTATTTTCTTGGTTTTTATCTAATTTATTTGTATGAGTTCTTGATATATTCTGGATACCTTTTGTGTGTTATATGGATGGCAAATATCTTCTGTGAGACTGGAACATTTTTCACCTCATTTATGGTCGCTATTTATTTATATATTTAAATCTAGATATTCCTTATGCCTTCACTTAAGATTTTCTGTTGCTTTTTTTTCTGGTATCATTCTTCCCTATTATAAGGTCCTAGAAATAACCTTCTACCTTGTCTTCCAGATTTTTAGTATTTTACTCTCAGATGAATGCATTTAAATTATCTTGAATCAATTTTGGTGTATACTGTGGCATTAATATACATTTTCTTATTATTCCATATCATTAATAAATTTTCTCTTCACCATTTATTAACTAATCCATTCTTTATCCAATGATTTCAATGTTACTATTGAAATGAATAAGTCCTCATATGTGTGTGGGTATTTCAGAGATACTCTATTCTGTTCTGTTAATTTATATGTCCCTTAGACAATAATCACATACCACATTATATTAATTACTAAAACTTTAAAATATGTTTTGAAATGAACCAAAGTGAATCACTGTTTTGTTCTTCAAAGTTAACATTTTTTGTCTTTTACCATTCCATATATATTTTAGAATCAACCTGCCGATTTCCATGAAATTTCTTATGGAATGGTAGTCAATCTACAGATTTGGTAAAAATTAACCTAAGAAAATATTAAGCATTCTTGACTGCCAACATGACCTACTTTCCTTTTTTTAATCTTTCCAGTTTTATTAGTGGTCATAATAATGTCTTTCAATAAAACTTTACTGTATCCTAAAAAGTTCTCTACCTTTTGAATAATATTTATTGTTAAGTAACTTATTTTTGGCCTGTGTGTGTGGGGGGGGTGTTGTACATATATGTGCGTATATGTATATACACACAAATATGTATATATACATATATATATATATACACACTAAAAACACTTTATCACAAAATGTTATTTACTGATATTATTAAATATATGTGTATGTATATGTGTATTTTCCCCTATTTTTTGCTCTATATTTACACTTAATATTTGAGTCTTATTCTTTTTTCTTATTTTGGTCCCAATTCATAATATCCATTAGAATGTCTGGTATTCTGTTATCATTATGTCAAAGTGTTGTCAATACTGATTTTTATTTATTCTGTGTTGCTATACTTGGCCTGAGGAATCTCTTTTTTCTATTATTTCTCAGTTACTATATGTTTAATATAGCATCTTCTCCAGGTTTTCCCCCCTTCTTTCAGGAATTTCAGTTACTATATACTTAAGTCCCTAATTCAATCCTCCTTCTCCCTTAGCCATTTTTATGTTGCATCTATCTGGTTTCTTTAGCTGACTCTGATCTAATTCTTGATTTTTTTTCACTTTCATTATACTTTTCACATCTACCCAGGTTTTTTAAAACTGCTAGGCGAATATTCTCTTTTTATGATCTGTATCATTCATTTATTAATTATAACAGTTATAAACATAAACTATGTTGTGTTTATAGCATTTTTAAAACTAGTAAGTACAATACAGCCTCACTGGTTCAAATACAATGTATCCAGTACTACTCTACACATAGGGGATAGAGACATTAACACAATAGTGAAACTTTTTCCCTTATGAATTTGACAGCTGAGGACAGGTGATTTTTTTTTTGTACTTTTCTTATGGAATTATTGTCATAGATTATGGTGATGCCTAATAGAAGATATTTCCCTTTAAGTAGATTCTGTATATATTTTCTGATATGAACAAGCAATTCCATATTATTTTTGAATTAAAAAATAGAACTCTTCCAAATACTGTTAAATTCCTCACATTATTTTTCTATTTAAATTATTAAATATTAAGTTTCCAAGTTTCCATAAGTATACATTCCTTTTAAAATGATATATTGAGAATTTTAAGCCTGTAATATCTGAATTAGGGTGACAAGTGGGTAGTTGCTAAGGAAATATTTGCATTAAAATTACCAGAACATTTACTACCCAATCAAAAATAAACTTAAGGTGTGGTGTTTGAAAAAAACACATTTCATTTCTTGAGAAATGGTTCTAGAAACTAGTAAAAAAAAAAAAAAAAGATATTTTCTAATTCAAAGAAAAGAAAATCTACCCTGAACCAAGATGAACTAAATTGGCATGAAAAAAAGTCTTCATGATTAACGTATTTGCAATCAAAATGCAAAAATTACTCATATAAAACTTCATTAAATGAAATTGTCATTACATTGTATACAAAAACCATAGGCTTACTTAACAACAAGGATACAAACACCTCCAAATATAGGAAAAACTCCTCCAAATATAGCCTTGTAAGTGAATAAGAAGAGAATCTCTGGATAAATCAGGTCAATGATTATTCAAAGACACTCAAGAGGGAAACAGATTTAAAAGATGGGACTTGGGGTTTTGAGAATAAGCATCACTGCAATATATTTCTATGAAACACTATTTATTAGTTCATTTTCAAAAAGGCTTTCCACTTAAGGAAACTTGGGTATAAATATAAAATTCACCAAATTTGCATGAATGAAAATGCCAAGTTTACTTCCTTAGAAAGAAAATATCCACATGACTTTAGATTGTGAAAAATGTTAGTGCTTAGTTACATGGGATTCAATTCCTCCACTTAATGTTGACCGTATTTTCTCCGGTATTGTAATTTGCACACGTAGTCTTTCAGAATCTGTAAGGTACAAAATGTTTCATTAAAGTAGCATCCATCACCTCATAGCTTCCTCCTCATCTAAATCCATAATATTTTATATGCCACCTCTTTTTTTAAACTCAATTCCCACTTTCTAGAATTACAAGACTTTTAAAGAGAAATTAATTACAAATAAAATCAGGACCTTTGGACTTTTCAACTACAAAGTCCAGAGGTCAAAAATGCAGACAGAGTACTATATGAAACTCTAACCTTGAGGCATCCAGTTGAACCACTGCATCTCTCATCTTTCATATGGTACCAGGATGAGTGGGAAAGCCCCGTCACATCCAGTGTGAATTTTCTTTGGGTAAGACGATATGGTAGTGGGCTTTGGCTTAAAAAATTGGAGCACCTGCAAGAAGGCACTTTCCCAGGGATATCTGGCCTCTCAGAAGAAAGTAGAGAGGAAAGTTGACATTCCCAAAAGTTCAAAGGAAAGGTTTTTGTACTTACTGTTGTCTGTCTGGAGCCCGATGAGCCCGATGACAAGCAGCAGAAGGCACAACATGGCTTCATGTCCTGGATGCCAGTCCGAATAATGGCAGTTGGCTTGCGTAAAGGACAGTTGGGAGCGCGAGGGGACCCCTCCTGGCCGCGCACCTTGCAAGAGACAGTCCACCGTGAGAGCAGAGTGGAGAGGATGGTTGTGGTGTACTGTTGAATGTGGGCGGTTTTGGCTCCTAAATCTGTGCAGGAGGCTTCCAATTGGTTTGACGCAGCTTTAAGCCTGAAAGAAAACAGAATCACTTCCAAAAGGCAAGGTTGAAGAAACAGTTAATGAACAGGAAGATTCATATACACTTCCTAATGAACTTTTTATTGAAGATACATGTATATTCTACAAACCATAGGAGAACAGCTCAATTAATATTCAAGTGAACAGTATAATTAGCACCTAGATTCAGATCAAGAAATAAAACATAGAACCACCAAAACCCAAAACCCCCAGATGGCCCCCTGACAATCATTACTGCTACCATCAGCGATTAATTAGTTTTGTCTGTTTTGAACTTTATATAAATGGAACTAGGCACCATGTACTTTTATGCATGAGTTCTTTTATATATAATATATAATATATAATATAAGGATTATGAGATCCATCCATTCATTCATACTGTGAAGAGAAATAGCTTTGTTTTTTCCTCATAGGTGTATATCATACATTGATTGAATATAACACAATCTTTTTTTCCATTTTACTGTTGACTAACATTTGGTTTATTTGTAGTGGTGCCTATTAAAAACCACATTTGGCTATTTTATTTCTTTGGTGAACATATGTAGTGATTTTCTTCAGGTATATTTCTAGAGTGAAATTGCTAGATCACAGGGTATGCTTCAATAGACACTTCCAACAGTTTTCCAAGGTTGTTGTACTAATTTGTACTTTCACCAGAAATGCATGAGAATTCCAATTCATATAAATGCGTACCTACACTTGTTTTTGTTTTTATTTCATGTAATTATTTTGGTCCTGCATTTGGTTTTAACTTGCATTTTCATGGTCATTAATAAACTTTAGCACAACTGTATATATTTATTGGTCATTTATATAACTTCTTTGGTAAATGCTTGAGTCTTTGGACCATTTTACAATTGGATGCTCTTGTCTCTTATTATATGCTGAGCCTATTGATGTATTCTAGATATGATTCTTTTGTTGGATATAATGATTTGCAAATATCTTCTATACAGGGGCTTACATTTAACAGATTTTTGTACATACACATTCTTATTCAAAATTTACTCCCCTCAATGTTTGCTGGGATTTCAGGATATACATCTTATTGTGAATGTGAATTTTATCAAAAGTTTCTTTTATATAAATTGATGTGATCTTATAGCTCTCTCCATTTTCTGTTAATTTTGTGAATCAAAATTATTGACTTTCTAGTGTTGAAACAAATTGTATTCTGGAATACATCCTACTTTATGTACTATCTTTTTATATTTTTCTGGACTGATTTTCCAGCACTTTGTTTAGGACTTTTGCATCCATATTCATAAGAAATATTTGTCTGTAATTTTCTTTCATTTCAATAAACTTTTCAATTTTTGTACCAGAGATATGCTGGCCTCATAAAAGAAATTGGGAAATGTTATTCCTTCCTCTATTCTTTAAAAAGTTAGTGTAATTGTTGTGAATATTTCTTCTTTTAATGTTTCTCAGGATTTAGAACTGGAGAGATTTGGACTTAAAATTTTATTTGTGACAGACTTTTTGTTTTAACTTATGAAGCAAATATTTTTAAATGTTCAGATATTCTCTTTCTGTGTTACACAAGTTCTGTTTCTGATGGATTTTATCCATTTCTTCTGAGTTATTAGATATATTGGCCAAAGTTATTCATAATCCCCTTCCCTCCTTTATCATCCTTTTGAACTCTGTAGATCTGTACAAATGTTCCATTTTTTCATTCTCAATATTGATAATTTTGTGATTTTTCTCTATATTATTCAATCACTGAGTTTATTATTTTTATTTGTATTAACTTTCAAAAGAACTGTTTTGAATCTCTTTTTTGTATTATATATTTGTTTTCTATTTTATTGAGTTTTGCTCTTCTGGTCCTTTTTTCTACTTTGAGTATTGTTTGTTCTTTTTCTAGCTTCTAAGAATAGAAGTATATCTTACTCAATTTAAACCATTCTTTTTTCTAATATATACATTTAAGACTACAAATGTTCATCTATTCATCACTTTAAATTTATCACCAAAGTGGGGCTCGATCCCACAAACCATAAGATCATGACCTGAGCCAATATCAAAAGTCGGACACTTAACTGACTGAGCCACCCAGTCTAATTGTGTATTTTTTGATGTTCTTCCTTTATGACTATGAGGATTTGTGTCTCCCTACCAAGACCTCCATTCTGCAAACAATATAAACTATTACAATACTTTATTCTGATATTTTATTTCTTTTTAAAACTTACATATTTATTTTTTTCTGAAATGTATTCCTCTATATTTTGGGGGACATTTGCTTAAATATTTATTACTTGTCATTACATTTGTGAATACAAGAACAAACAAATGCACATGCCAGCATATATGTGGATGGGTGCATAAAACAGAGCTTCCATTTGTGTAAAATAAGGGATATTTAAGAAGATGTAGATGTCCACTCATTTTACCAAAGACCACCTGGAACACATCTGTGGTTGAACAAGTTGGATTTATTACTAGTGTCAGCACAGGGGGACACACACCATGGGAAACAGTGGTAGTCCTGTGAGGGTGTCATTACGGGATTCAAGCTTGTGTTACGTGATTTGGGGGAAGGCTTATGGAATCTGGGCTTTGCCAGATTAGATGCTGTCAGAAACAAGGGGATACATTTCTGACTATTTTAGTAATTCTTGTCTAGAAGAGGAAAGACTACACTAATGCTAAGTCAAAATTGGTCAAGGAACAGGAATATCTCATGTTAGCCAGGACGGAAATGTTTGGTCATTTCTGTGACTTGAAAAGTTTTGAAGTTTTACTTGTATTCAAACATAGAGAGTGGCCTTGCTTTTTTTCTTCATCCATCATGATCAGAGCTTTTGACCTTTTATGAAATTGTTTATGTTCAAATGGAGACCCACACAGCCTATCCGTGTCAGGCCAGCTCCTAGCAACACCAAGGCCCAGCTGATATTGGGTCAGATCCTGCATATCAGGGGCTGCTTCTCCCTTTCTCATAGCCACTGCATTGGATTTATAGATAAACCCTTATGACATTAACTTTTTCCATCCTGAAAATAAATGTTATATACCTATATAACTTGTTCATGTTTGGTTAGATAAATTGATATAAATGTTGACATATTAATAGATACAAATATATAGTTGTCAACTTTCACTTATTATGCCAAAGGCCCAATACCACAGTGAATAAAATTAAACAGCATCAAAGAATGTTTGATATTTTGTAGCACAAGATTTCCTTACAAAAGGAAAAGTTCTAAAACATTGCTTTTCTTTTCTTTTTCTTTTTCTTTTTTGCAGGACCTATGGTTTTATTTTGAATTTTGTTTGCTATTAGTTATATGGTTTTATTAAGTTTTTATTTAAATTCCAATTAGTTAACATACAGTGTAACATTTGTTTCATGTGTCCAACTTGGTGATTCAGCACTCAGTCAGTGAAGCATGTGACTCTTGGTCTCAGGTTGTGAGTTTGAGCTCCACAACTAATTAAGAGTTTACTTAAAAATAAAAAGTTATTTTTCTTTTTTAAAAAAGGTTTATTTATTTATTTTGACAGAGAGAGAGAGAGAGAGAGAGAGAGAGAGAGAGAGTGAGAGTGAGTGAGTAGGGAGGGGCAGAGAAAGAATCCCAAGCAGACTTCACACTCAGCACAGAGCCCAATGTAGGGCTTGATCTCAAGACCCTGGGATCATGACCTGGGCTGAAATCAAGGATCAGGCACTTAACAAACTGAGCTACCCAGGTGCTCCTAAAAAGTTCTTTTTCTAAAAAGATCTTTTGTATTATTCCTTAGTTCTCTTTAAGAAAATCTTTCAAATAAACCTTCCACATAACATTATTCCTAATGCAGTATTTTAAAGATACCAAATAATAAATCCTTACCCATTGATACAAATTATATGTTATTATAAAGATAATTACCTTACCAATGCATCCATTCAACCAACAAGTATTTGTTGAACATCTAGTATGTACCAGAAATTATTGTATGTACTGGTGATGTTGTAATGACCAAGAAATGGACTATCTATTCACTTTAATTACTTGTATTGTTTGCTTTTGACCAATACTATCTCTTTCAATCACTGTGTGTTTGTGTGCATGTGCATGCCCGTGTGTGTGTGTGTGTATTTAATTTGCTATGGTTGATTGTTCTCAATTATTAAAATAGATGCATACACTTGGTTAGTTTTTATTTCTAAATGAAATTTGAAGTCTACTTTTGCAGAAGAGTAGTTCAATGTCAGTTAAAAGAGAAGTATTTATGGAGATTTGGTAGAGAATGAATTGGATATAGTTTGACTCTAAATATTCTCATTCTAGAAACAACTATCTATTTATTAAAATTTCATGTGTTTTACTTTTGTTAAGTTACTCAGATCTTTGAATTACTGGAATGTATTTATCTTGCAAAGCACTTATTAATTTTTTTCTTATTTGTTGCATACTTTTAATTTGTAATAGAGAAGTGAAATTTTTTATTTCATTGTCTAATTATGTATTTGAAATTTTTTGTATCAATATGCTTATTCCACTACTGCATACCAGCACAAAAATAATAGACATTCTTCTTTAATGTCAAATACAATGAATCTACTTTTAAGGATCCACTATTATGTATAAAATTTATTAAAACTAAATCTTCTTCAAATTGATGATATAAGTTCTATCCTGAAGCATGATTTTAAGGAAAGGGTATTTATTGTTATAGTTTCTTTCCCAATCAAGTGTGAGGAGAGTATGTGTTTATGTTTAACATGATGATCACATGCATATTTTACTTAATTTCCATCTTTCAGGATACATCTC